ACATTGAGCTTTACTGGCTTTGGCAACCAGCCCTGTTCTGCCTTGTAGTCAACCCCGAGAAATCATTTGGACTTCTCTGCCAACTTCATATAAGTCATAATCTTTACAGAACAGATTCAATGCTTAATATTGCAATCCAATAATCACACAGTAAGTATAACATAAAAAAAGCACCAAAGCAGAAAACTACATGTTGATAAAAACTTGAGATTGCTATATAAAAGTTTTCAAATATTTAGAAGAAAACAATATTTTTCTGTCACACATTTAAAGAGTTATTGTGTTTCCAGTTAAATGCAAATGTATCTGTTTATCTCCTCTCCTTCCCCAAATGCCATTAAAAGTAAAGGATTATATGAAAAAATGCTCAACATCATTAATTATGAGGGAAATACAAATCAAAAGCACTAGGAAATATCACTTCACACCCACTAGGATGGATGGATAGAATCAAAAAGTCAGATAAGTGTTTGGGAGAAAGTGGAGAATTTGGAAGCCTCATACACTGCTGGTGGGAATATAAAATGGTGTGGCTGTTTTGGAAAATCATCTGGCAGTTCCTCAAGTGTTAAACAGGATAGGCATATAACCCAACAATTCCTCTCCTACATATATACTCAGCAGAAATGAAAACATATGTCTATACAGAAACTTGCACACAAATACTCATAGCAGCATTATTCATAATAGTCTAAAGGTGGAAACAACTTAAATGTCCATCAACTGATGAATGGATAAACAAAATGAGGTATATCCATATAATGGAATATTATTCAGCCATAAAAAGAATAAAAAGATAAAGTATTATTACATGCTACAACATGGATGAAACTTGAAAACATTATGCTAAGAAGCTAGAAGCTAATGACCACATGTGATTCTATTCACATGAAATGTTCAGAATAGGAAAATCTGTAGTGACAGAAAGTACATTAGTGGCTGCTTAGACCTGGGGGAATGAGGGCTGGAAGGGGTGACAGCTAAAGGGTCTGGGTTTCTTTCTTAAGTCATAAAGATATTATAAAATTGGCTTTGGTGATGGATGTACAACTCTGTGATATACTAATAATCAATGAATTACACATTAAATGGGTGAAGTGTGTGGTATGTGAACTGTATTTCAATAAAACTGTTTAAAAAGTAAAGGATTTAAAAAGAATAAGCGCTCGGGGATGACAAGAATAGGAGAGGATACAACAGAAGAGGTCAACACATTCCTGGAAGGTGGAAACCCAGGTAACTGAATTAGCAAAGCAGATAAAGCACCTGCAAACCAGTTCACACCACAAAACTTCAGAAACAAATGACATGGTGGCACCAAGTAAGAATTAGGGATTACTTACTATAAATATGGTTCTTTGAAATTTTGGTCCTTTTTTGTTTTACATTGTGTATAATGAAACAAAACTGGGGAGGGGTGCTCTTTTCCAGTATTTGGTAAAACTCTGTTGAAATGTCAGCATGCTTCACATGTGGAAAGAGGATCCCAAGTTCTTTCCCAGGACAGGACCTGAGACTACTGTTTTAAAGTTGGCACTATACACTACTGGGGTCTGTGTGTGGCATGGCAACTGTGGGAATCAAAGCCAAAAATTTCAAACATTATATAAAACTCAAGATAACATAGTCAATAGTCCATTTCTAAAATGTATTAATTTGAAAGTAATTAAACTTGTAGAAAAGTGAAATGGTAAACAACAGTATACCCTTTATCCAGATTTCCCTATTATTTACATTTTGACCCATTTATGATCTCTCTCCTTTCTGTCTCTCTCATCCCTCCCTCCTTCCCTTTCTCTCTTCTCTCTCTCTCTCTCTCTCTCTCTCTCTCTCTCTCTCTCTCCACACACACACACACACACACACACACACACACACACACACACACACGGAATATACACATATATTCCTGAATATTTGTAAATATATCTCATACATCATGTACTTTCTCCTAGATTATTTCATTGTATATTTCTTAATAAAAGAATATTCTCTTACATACTCAATAATCCCCTATAAATTTATCTATGTAAATTTAGCATTGGCATAAAACTTTTAAATCATCTCTTATCCATATGCCATTGTTGTCAATTTATCTAGTGATATTGTCTGTGGCTTTTTTAAAATATCCATTACAGGATCCAGTCTAGAATTATGTATTGCATTTAGTTGTCATTTGTCTTTAGTTTCCTTTAATATAGAGCAATTTCTCAGGCTTTCTTCTTTCCAGTATGGCTATTTTTAAAAAATATATTCAATGAACCCTTTTTATAACCTCTTCCCACCTGGAAATTTTTTGGTGGAGCTTATCTTGCTCAGATTTGAAAGGATGATTTCATAATTGTGGGACCTTAGAGGCTGTCAGGACCAGACTTGTTATAAACAAACGAACATACATAACAACAAAAAACAACAATACAAGAGATGCAAGGCTAAATGGAGAGATTTTTCTGAACAGAGAGACCTCTTACAGTCCAGGGAGTGTAGATGAAAGGAGGCAGGCTTGAGCTGCCCCTCCTTTTTAGGTAGAGACAATGGGGAAGCTGTGCATGCAGAAGACAGGCAAAGTAAGGATCTGTCATTACTGCTAAAACCTCACCATATGGAAGGGGAAGGAAAGCATCAGGTGTCTGGGGCCAAAGCAGATTCATCAGACTCAGTGAGGGAGTATAGGCAAACAGTGTAAGGAAATGACACAGGGTTTCATTCCAGCAGTTTATAATCTAAATAACTATGCTTTAAGGGTTATAACTGTCAAACTGGCTGACAGAAAACAAAAGAGAGAAGACAAAAACATATACATCTCAAGAAAAGTGACATCATTGTTTTAGAAAGTATAGAGGAGCCAATAGGAATTGTGGTAAAAAGTTAGAAAGTAGATGGGAAAAAAATGTAAAACCTTTCATGGAGGAAGTAACCATAGGTGTGATTCAGAACAAAAGTCATTGATATACATAATTTCAATTGCGCTAATTAGAGGTTACATTATGCTAAAGAGAAGTCTGCTCCCTAAATCAGGATAGGTTTAGTTGTGTGGGTTGTGGTTCAACACAATTACTCTGTAAAAATGAGAGAGAATTTAAAAATGTCAGGAAGGGGAGAGAGAGTTTGGTAGAGAGAAGAAAGAGGGAGCAGCAGGGCTGAACACTGTATGGGTGGAGGGGGCTAAATCTGAGAGCCACTAGGGGCAGCCTAAAAGGGATTTGGGGAGAAAAAAAATTTTCAAGTTGTTTGCCATGGGTATGCTCTTACTATTGTTTGCCTCTTTTGGCTTCTAAAAGATGACCAGTCCCTTGTAGGGATTTGACAATGGCCTTTTCAATCTTAACCTAAGTCCTTTATATGACCCTTTTTTGTTTTTTGAGTCAGAGTCTCACTCTGTTGCCTGGGCTAGAGTGCCATGGCGTCAGCCTAGCTCACAGCAACCTCAAACTCCTGGGCTTGAGCAATCTTCCTGCCTCAGCTTCCTGAGTAGCTGGGACTACAGGCCTGCGCCACTACGTCCGGCTAATTTTTTCTATTTTTTTAGCTGCCCAGCTAATTTTTTTTCTATTTTTTTTTTTTTTTTTTCAGTAGACATGGGGTCTTGCTCTTGCTCAGGCTGGTCTCCAACTCCTGAGCTCAAGCAGTCCTCCCGCCTCAGCCTCCCAGACTGCTAGGGTTATAGGCATGAGCCACTGTGCCCAGCCTGACCCTTCTTATATGTCCTGTAATAAAGACACCATATTATTTCATAAAACATACAATGAACTTACTCTAAAACCTTTCAGGCCTTTTCAAAGTGAGAAAATACTTAAAGTCCAGAACCTGGCTCAAACCATCTGGCTCAAATCAGGTGAAAAACCTGCTCCCTGACTACCCTAAACTATATACAGCTGTAGGGCGGGGTGAGTTGCTCTGGCATAGTAAATTCCCCTTGCTGCCCCCAGAAGGTTTTGAAATTGAAAGCTAGGGGTGTGTAGGCCCTCAGATCAGGGGGAGGGAGAAATCTTCCTCTTGGATCTCTTGGTGAGAAATAAATGTTACTGCTCCTAGGGGCCAGCCCTTTCCTCCCTCATGAATTTTGGAGCAATGTGCCAAGTTCCCCACCTCTTACCTTCCCCCGATGAAAATGTAAGCTCACCCTTTCCCCTTTCTCTACCCTTTTAGGAGCAGTAGGGGGGACAGATTGTGTATCTCTGAAAGGGGCCAAGAATAATAATACTTTCCTGAAAACAGTGTTTTACTTTCATTTTTAAAAAGTTACTGATTTCAGAGTATCTGGCAGGTGAGCAGTCACTGAGTGGGACATGTATGGATGGGTTTTGCTATTGTGGACACTGGGTTGGCTGGGGCAGGGTTCAGGAAATAAGTGGGTCCTGCTGAAAAAACCTATTATGCATAGTATGTTACTGTGTGTGGAAAGCACAATTTAAGCTTGACTGTAAGGTCTACCTACAGGGAAGGCCCTGTCCCTGGGGAATCTCTTTAGGATGCCTGGTTTGATAGCACTGTTGCAAGACCAAGAGATCACCTGGCAATCACTTGTAGGAATGCTCATCAGGTAGCAGCTACAAAGGATTTCGGAATAAAGGAGACAGAGAGTAAGAAAAAATATAATGGGAGAGGGAGTGGGTAAGAAAGTAAAAAGTGAAGAAGGAAAAGAATGACCCCCTCATCTCTACCCATGACCCCATCCTGGCCATCTACTCCACCCACTACTCCTGTCCTTATATCTCACCTTTTGGCAGCTAATAAGGGCTTTGCAGAGCACAGTGATACCGTTTCAGTGTAAGAGTTCAAGGGATGGTCTCTGAGCACAAAGACAGTATCTGCAGGGATAATATCAGACACTATAACATCTTTTCTAGGGAAGGTGATCCTTGTCCCTGCCTGCTAGCCATGCTACATCATACACCAAGGTTACAGTGATTTAGGGGCATATTAGTTATCTATTGCTATGTAATGGATACCTCAAAATTTAGTGGCTTATAAAAAAATACATATATTTATTATCTCACAGTTTTTGTGGGTCAGAAGTCCAGGTGAGGCCTAGCTGGGTTCTCTGCTTCAGGGTCTCTCACAGGGCTGCAATCAAAGTGTCAGCTAGGGCTGAGGTCTCTTTTGAAGTCTCAAATGGAGGATACACTTCCACACTCACTTATGTGCTGTTGGCAGGATTCAGTTCCTCAAGGCCTATTAGACTGAGGTCCTCAATTCCTTGCTGACTATTGGGTGGAATTGTCTGGAGGTTTCCCTCAGTTCCTCAACACGTGGGCCTTTCCAGTGTAGCAGCTTTCATCAAAGCCAGGAAAGGAGAGAGTCTGTAAGAAAGACAAATGTTACAATCTTTTGTAAACTCAAAATAGAAATACATCCCATCATGTTTCCCTTATTCTCCTAGTTAGAAGCAAATCACTAAGTCAGCCCACAGTTAAGGGGAGAGGTGATTACACAAGTATGTGAATACCAGGAGATAGGATCATTGGAGCCTTCTTAGAAGTCTTACTAACACAAAGGTCTCGTCTTGGACCCCTGGCTCAGTTCACTGAAGCCAAAGTGGCCAATGGTGCCAAATGGATTGTTATCCATATCCATGGTTAAGGTCAAAGCTGTTTAACAGCGCAGTGGAACATCAAAGTGGTTGGAGCACGTGAAGAAGAGGAGAAAGCTGGTGTGAAAGTAAAGGTGGTGTGGGGTCACTGTGAATGGTAAAGTGAAAGGATCTCTGAGAACCACCTACCATACCACTGCCAGTGTTCATTCTAGACTTAGAGGGGAGGAAAAATTAGCTGCAATATCCAGGCTCCACCAAAGTCTCCACTCTGTCTTAGCTCCCAGGCCACAGGCCAAAAGAAGCAAGCTCCCGCTCCTATAGAGACTGCCAGGCTTACAGAGGAAGCAAATCCTACAGACTACAAGATTTAATTTCTACTTTTATTAATGTATTTTAAAGAGCACACCTATCATTTCAAATTTGGTTCTCATTGCTTTCATATTTCCTGACTCAAAATAGAAGTTCTGAGGCATCTGTTGTAAAGTCTTACCAAGACTGTCATGTGGGAGGGGAGTTTAGCAAGTGTTCCTGGGAGGGAGGAGTTAGGGGTTGGTGCAGGTGCTGGGTTGAAGGAGGGAGAGTTGCCCAAAGGTAGCAGTGGCTCCAATGACTTGAGAATAAGGATGTAAAGATATGTTCCTTAAGTAGATGGGTTCTGTTTGGAAGTCCTCCAGGAGACAGCAGGATTTCGTAAGGAATGAAAGGATATTTGCTGAGATGACTATCAAGCCCCATTATCTTGGGAGCTGCAGCAAAACACAGCATTGCCCAACCTTGGCATATCTGTTTGGCAGTGAATACCAAACTAAACAGGCAAAATGTCAGTAATGACTATTATTGGATATCTTCCTACCTACCCTTTAAAATGGATGCTTTGAGCCAGATTTAATTTAATTTAGAAAAATTAAGTACTTCTTGTTGTACTTCAGTGTTGTAGAACAAGTTTGTGCTTTTATAAGTTTTATCCCATTTAATCTTTACAACACTTTGAAGTAGATATTTTTACTCCCTTTCTTATATGGGCAACCTGAGGGACAGAGACGGTAATGTATGTAGTGGGCTAGTGTGGAAGAGGGAGCCAGGAAGGGAGAGCCTTTTTCTATTGTGAGAAATGATGTGGATGTAGCCTGAGCATATACAATGCAAGAAATTTTCAACAACAAAAAAGAATCTGTTGACTCAGGTGCCTCAAAACATCTGGGAGTAAGATTGGCCTCAGGCAGTAGGGTTCATGCTGGGGCTCAAGTGATGCCATCAGGATCCATTTTCTATCCAGTTCTTTGTTCTATATTCTGGGCTGGCTTCACTGTATGACTGTGGGTCTGGCAAGGCCATAGCTACATTCTCCAAGCTTCAAGTGCTTGGAGGGGACAGGGCCCAGGGTAGGGAGCTTGAAGTGGGGGAAATCAGTTGGAGGCTCCAACATCTAGTGGACGGACCACTCAACAATTTGGCCTCTCACTGTTTACCCCTACTCATCTTAGATCCCTTTACCTTCCTTTCAGTTCAGTTACTGTCACACTCTAGAACTTATCACCAGAAATACCCCTGCCTTCTGAAAAAGTAGTCTGACATTTTAACCCTTTATCCTTTATGTTTATACCCTCAGTATGCCAATTCTTCAACCTATTCAGGAACTACGAGCCACTTTAAACTTTCTCCCTGTCCATCCAATAACCTTTTGTCTCAATTTCCTTCTTCTCCAAAGAAAACTCCATGGTCCACACTAAACCACAAATCTGTACAGCTCCACTCCAAACAACACTCCTTAATCTCCTTTCATCTTTCCTGCCTGGAAAAATCCAATTTTCTACCTTTTCTAAACCTGCCTTCCAAAAACACGTCGAGTCTTTTTGGGTAAAATCACACAATTAAGTATAAAGGTGCCACCATTAATTCATCATCTACAACTAATGGCCAGTTCCAACACCTCCTAAAAATAATCCGTTCTTTCCTCTAGTGATGACTTAGTGCCGGGCAGTCTTCTAAGCACTGGGACACACCAGGGAGGGAACAAAGCTCTCTGTCTTGTGGAGTTCATAGGATTGTCATCTTAGTCAATTCCCTTGCTCATCTACTCAAAACTCCTATTTCACTTTCCTAAACTTCTCTCTCTCTCCTCATCCATTGAACCACAAAGGAATGAGACGCCAATAGATGAAAACTTTTCATCATAAAACTTAAAAATGCTCCAAATGCCTTGAGCTCCTACCGCTCCTTTGCTCTTTCCTTCCCATGGCAGTCAGAGGTTTCCGTGGGACACCTGCCTTGGTCCTCCCAGGCTGTGGCGCGTCCTAGCTTTCCAATTCACGGCACCCTCCCCGGCGAGTTGGAGTATTGGGCTTATCAGTCTGCCTTCCAGACTCAGACCACGTCCGCCTCGTCACCGTCCGTGCCCGTCGTTTGGTAATGTGCACCTGAGGGCTGAGACGCTGACGCGCGGATGAGGGAGCGCAGGGAGCGCCCGCAGCGGCCTCAGCCGGCGTCCTCAGGGCGGGGCCGCACCCGGGGACGGGTCTGAGCGCGGCCGTTGGGCTTTATAACCGAGGCGGTGGGGGCCGCAAGTGCCACCTCAGGCGTCTGGGTTCTGTCCCCGTGGATTCCAGAAGAGGAGAGTTGAGACTGGCCTCAAAGACGTGGTCCTGGCGAAGGACCCGAGTGGCTGCCGGCTCCCCTCGGGAAGGCGCCTTCCCTTCGCCGCCATTTCGCTCCCGGCAGGCGGCGCGGCGGGCTCGCACCGGTAGCCCCGGGCCTCCCGCCCGGGGGCGCCGCCTCGACCCCGCTCGGCACCCCGCGGTGCAGGCGCCAGGCGTGAGTGGCGACAAGAATAAGTGGCTCAACAGCGTTGACAACTGTGGCCAGAGCCGTGTGTCGCGCCCTTCGAGATCCGGGACAGCAGGACAGGAGGCCTCCAGCAGAGAATACTCCCCAGTCCCACCAAACAGAAACCTCAAGCTCAACCAAGAGAGGGGGCCTCAACCTTTGTAACCACTTCCTGCTGGAGGCAGAGGTGGAGATGTCCTTACCCGAGCGTTTACTTGAGTGTTGCAAAGGGAGAGGAGTTAGCAATGGATGGACTTAAAAGCTAGAGTAGAGGCAGGACAGGAATCACATTAGAGGCAAACCGCAGGGTTCTTTTTACATTTTTCCTGCTTTAAAATGAGTCTTTAATGTTTACATTGTTGCCAGGACTGGCTGTAGTGATAACTTACCAGGAACTCAGCAACCACAGCTTTAAAGCAGGCAAAAGATGGAGACAGTTAAATCAACTCTGCATTTTAACTCCGTAGTGGCAGATTGACCTTTTGAGCTCTTGTGATGTATTGTGCCCATTGGTTTAAGCGTAGGCACAGGAACAGAAGTTTAAGAGGTTTTAAACATAAGTCTCATAACTGAGACCAGAGAACTTTGGTGTTTTAACTAGAAATTTCTCTTTTAATTATAGCCAACTTGATCACATATAAGATTTCTTTCTAAATTCTCTATTTTTAATCAACCTGGAAAGAACTTTTGAATTAGACAAGAGTATTCTTAGGGTCTATAAGTTGAATCTTAACAGTGATTGATGGCTTGTCCTGGGACTTCCCCACCCCATACCACAGGGTTAACCAGCTGGAGAAACTAAGGATCTAATTGTTGTTCCAGCTTTCTCTCCTCAGGGACTAGGATAGGGCAGGTGTGGCCACCTAGGCAGATCTTTCCACATCCGTTTCTCTTATTTTATTGGTTATTCTCTATCCTGTTTTTGCTTTCTTCCTAAAAGCATAGAGTTAGGACTTCAAGCCTTCTGCTCAGACAATGGAGATAGGAGAGGGAAACAGAGGTCCTGAAAATTCAGAAAGAGCAGAGTTCTTTCTGAATTGGTGGCTCTGGTGTTAAAGTTAATTTGCTTACCTGTGACAGAGAGTTACCCAAGGCTCAGCCTGAGGGGTTGTTGGGGCCCCTCTTTCAGGTGACCAATAAAATCAAAGAAGAGTTTTCTAGCTGCTCTATTAGCTCCCATTGAATGGGTAGTGACAAAAACCACAGGACTTCAGCTGTAGCAATAACAGAAGACAGAAGAGGGCGCCAGAAGCCAAGCAAGTAGAGAGGTCAGCTCCCAGGACCCTTTCTTGCTGAGAGAAGTTGGTAAAACAAAAGGGGTAGAGACCCCTAGGTCTTCCCCACATTCAGATGCCTTCCAATGTGTCTGTGGTCCATACCCAAGAGAGAAGGAAAGGACAAGTTGATGCTTATGAGTGGCGGTAGCTAGGCATACAGACTCGGTGGCCATCCTACCTTACCTGGAGCCTGCCTAGCGCTGATGAAATGTTTCAGGTGTTCCCAGGTTTCGGCACCAAATGTCAGGTTCAAGTTTGTTTTCCCTGGTTCTTGGATCCTAGTACCAAAGGATGATTACTGGTACCGAGTCGACGGAATGAATGAGCAAGCCAACCTGGCATCAGCAAGTTAAACAGAATGTCTTGGAGGGGACGGGTCTATCCCCACAAGTGGAGAAGACCCTGTGGAATACAAGTCTTGTTCTTTTTATTATGGATGTGGGGGTTGTAGCTTTGGGGTGGAGACTGCTCCCTGTGTCACAGTTTTTCATAATCCTTTCTGAAAACCCACTGGGTGAGGGAGTGAGACCATAGTGCTGCCATGTCATAAGGTTATATTTGGTCACCCTTCTCTTACTAGTGTGTGTGCCTGTGCAGCAGAAAGTCACTTAACCATAACTTCCCACTGTTGTGATGAATCACTCCTTTTCTTATTGTTTGATCCCATGGAGTCATTTGTTTTCTTTTGCTTAAGTGACCATTGCTGGGCTCAGGAAACTCCACCCCTGACACGCCACCTTGCTGACGCATCCTCCTCCCCTAACTGCACCCCAGCCTTACCTCTGTGTGTGGATCACCGATTTTAAAGGTCAGATCGCCCAGGTGAAATGGTCACTTCCTCAGAGCCTTGTAATGTCTGTGGAATTAATTGTGAACCATTGGGCCTTCATGGTACAATTCTGCACCTTGAACCTATTCCCGATGCATTTGCTCACAAATACAGGCTGAGCACCCACCTCAGGCCAGGCCCTGAGGCAGACAGACGGCTTCTGCCTGCCCCACGCTGGTGGCTGGTGGTGAAGAGAGATGAGGCTGTAGGCCGATGCTGAGGAAGCCCTGGGCGCCGTGCAGGGCAAGCCTGGGCTCTGCCTCCTACGCAGGGGACGCGGGCCTTGCTGTTCAGCTCATCTCACACCCGTTCCTCCATCATTACATAGTATTTCCTTTAAACTGACCCACTTTTGCTTACTAAAATACATTGATTTGAAAACGAAACAGTTAACATCCTTACCATAAATGGAAACCCAGCACCACTGCCATAGTAAAAATAAATGCAATGAGCAGCAAACAACGTGATTAAAACCTATCTACATGCTGATGCCCACTCCCTCATTATTAAAGGGAAGATGAGCAGGCAGAGAGGAGATGCTAAAATCTCAAGGCCACAAATGAAGACTTGCTGCTAGAGTATCTGAAAGGCCTTCCGGGAACTTTACAAAGGAAAAATTTGGGGTCACATGTTTCAACAATACTTAATGCCACAGCCTCCTACTGTCAAAGTCGTTTTGCATTCAACGTGAAATAATCTCATGTATTAGAGAGAGAAGCCACCCAGTGGGAGCCAAAGCCACCGAGAGACACAGCTAGTATCAGAGAAGCAGCAGGAAGCAAGAAGGGAAGAAATTCCCGACCTTCCTCTCCTCCCCCTTCTCCAGGGCCTCCCCTTGGCTAGCCCCAGCCACAAACCAAATGGCAAACAAGCCTGGGGACACAGCCCCTAGGGCCAGCCTCTCAGGACACAGAGCAGGGCAGGAAAGAGTTGTGGGGAGGTGGAGAGAACAGAAGAGGCCGGCAGCCCCCCTGGGAATCGCTGCTGCCCAGCACACTTGCCGCCTGAAGCCAGAGTGCGTTGGGGACAGGGCAGGGCCTGGAGGGACAGCAGGACTCGCTGTTCTGGGCAAGGGCTCACTTGCGTCCTTTCTGGCCTGCAGTCTCCGTGAGCATCAACAACCTGTACCCGGGCTGCGAGAACGTGAGCGTGAGGAGCCGCAGCATGATGTTCGAGCCGGGCCTCACCAAAGGGATGCTGGAGGTGTTCATGGCCCCGTCCCACCACCCGCACTGCTCGGCCGATGACCAGTCCACCAAGGCCATCGACATCCAGAACGCCTATTTGAACGGTACGCCCTGCCTGCCCCTAGGGAAGGACCTCGGGTTTCCCTTTGACAGGGCTGTGAGTCATTCCCCAAAGTGAGCTTGTCCCAGGCAGCATGTGTCACATCTGTGGCTATACTAATTTACACTCCCACTAACAGCCTATCATGGCCGGGCGAGGTGGCTCACGCCTGTAATCCTAGCACTCTGGGAAGCCGAGGTGGGAGGATCGCCCAAGGTCAGGAGTTCGAAACCAGCCTGAGCAAGAGTGAGACCTTGTCTCTACTAAAAGTAGAAAGAAATTAATTGGCCAACTAAAAATATATAGAAAAATTAGCCGAGCATGGTGGCTCATGCTTGTAGTCCCAGTTACTTTGGAGGCTGAGGCAGAAGGATCGCTTGAGCCCAGGAGTTTGAGGTTGCTGTGAGCTAGGCTGACACCATGGTACTCTAGCCCAGGCGAGAAAGTGAGACTCTGTCTCAAAACAAAAAACAAACAAAAAACCCCAGCCCATCAGAGTTCCCTTTTCTGTGCATCCTCACCAGCATCTGTTAATTTTTGTCTTTTATAGTAGCCATTGTAACTGGAGTAGGATGATATCTCATAGTTGTTTCAATTTGCATTATTACTGAAGTTAAGCATTTTGTCATGTATCTGTTGGCCTTTCTTCTTTTCAGAAATACGTATTCACGTCGTTTGCCCAGTTTTTTTGTTTGTTTGTTTTTGATACAGAGTCTCACTCTGTTGTCCAGGCTAGAGTGCTGTGGCATCAGCCTAGTTCACGGCAACCTCAAACTCCTAGGTTCAAGCAATCCTTCTGCCTCAGCCTCCTGAATAGCTGGAACTATGTGGAATAGCAGTGGTGAAAAAGGGCATCCTTGCCTTGCTCCAGTTCTTAGAGGAAAGACTTTCAGCTTTTCCCCATTTAGTACAATATTAGATGTGGTTTTGTCATATATGACGTTTATTATGTTGTGAAGTATGTTCCTTCTTTGCCTAGTTTGTTGAGATTTTTTATCATGAAGCAGCACTGAATTTTATCAAATGCTTTTTCTTTGTCTATTGAGATGATCATATGGTTTTTGTCCTTCATTCTATTGATTTGATGTATCACATTTATTGATTTGTGTATATTGAACCAACATACACAGATCAATCCCTGGGATAATCCCACCTTGAATCCCTGGGATAAATCCCACTTGATCATGGTGTATGATTTTTTTGAGGTGCTGCCGAAATCAGTTTGTTAGTATTTTGTTGAGAATTTTTGATTCTGTTCATCAGAGACATTGGCCTGTAGTTTTCTTTTTTTGTTGCATCTTTATCTGGTTTTGGTATCAGGGTAATGCTGGCCTTGTAAAATGAATTAGAGAGAATTCCCTCCTTTTTTATTTTTTGAGGAACAAGGAGAATTGGCATTAGTTCTTTGAAAATTTGGTAGAATTCAGCAGTGAAGGCATCCAGTTCTGGACTTGACTTTGTTGAAAACCTTTATATTACTGATTCAATCTCATTATTCATTATTGGGCTCCTCATGATTTCTATTTCTTCCTGATTTAAGCTTGTGAATTGTATGTGTCTGAGAATTTATCCATTTCCTCTAGGTTTTCACCTTTGTAGTATATAATTGTTTGTAAGTCTCTGATGAGCATTTGTATTTCTGTGGTATAGGATGTAGTGTCTGTCTATCTTTTTATTTCCAATTTTGTTCATTTGGAGCTTCTTTACTTTTTTCTTGGTTAGTCTAGCAAATGGTTTATAGATTTTATTTATCTTTTCAAAAAACAAACTTTTCATTTCATTTTATATACATTTTTTAGTCTCTGTGTAATTTATTTCTGCTCTGATATTTATTATTTCTTTCCTTCTACTACTTTTGGGTTTGGATTATGATTTTCTCTAGTTCCTTGAAGAACATCATTAGATTGTTTATTTGAAATCTTTGTATTTTTTGATGTAGGTATTTATTGCTATTAACTTCCCTCTTAGCACTGCTTTTATTACATTCCATAGATCCTGATATGTTGTCCTTTGTTTTTCATTTGTCCTTGACCCATCAGTCATTCAGAAGCATGTTATTTAATTTCTATGCATTTGTACAGTTTCTAAAGTTCCTCTTGTTATTGATTTCTAGTTTTTTTCCCCACTGTGCTCTGAGAAGATACTTGATATGATTTTGATATTTTAAAATTTGTTGAGACTTATTTTGTGTCCTAATATATGCTCTATCCATTAGAAGATAAGTGTATTTCCAGTATAAATAAATAAATAAACAAACAAACAACATGTGGTCTATCTTGGAGAATGTTCCATGTGCTGATGAGAAGAAAGTGTATTGTGTAGCTGTTAGATAAGATGTTCTGTAAATGTCTGTTAGGTCTGTTTGATCTAATGTGCAGTTGAAATCCAATGTTTCTTTGAAATTTCTGTCTGGATGATCTGTCCAATGCTGAGAGTGGAGTGTTGAAGTCCCCAGCTATTGTTGTATAGGAATCTAACTCTCCCTTTAAGTCTAATAATATTTGCTTTATGTATCTTGGTGCTCCAGTGTTGGGTGCATATATATTTATTTATTTACAAATGTTTAGGTTATGTATATTTCCTTTGCCCCACCATATTCAAAGCTTCAGGCTTGTCCATCCCCCAGATGGTGTGCACCAGGTGTATACATATCCATTCCCTCCTTTCCCCTCCCATCTGCCCAACACCCAATGAATGTTATTACTATAGGTACATTTAAGTGTTGATTAGTTAAAACCAATTTGATGGTGAGTACATGTGGTGCTTGTTTTTCCATTCTTGTGATACTTCACTTAGTAGAATGGGCTCCAGCTCTATCCGGGATAATACAAGAGGTGCTAGATCACCATTGTTTTTTGTGGATGAGAACTGCATGGTATAAATATACCACATTTTATTAATCCACTCATGTATTGATGGGCACTTGGGTTACTTCCACATCTTTGCAATTGTGAATTGTGCTGCTATACACATTTGAGTGTAGATTTTTTTTTATAGAATGTCTTTTGTTGTTTTGGGTAGATGCCCAGTAATGGGATTGCTGGATCAAATAGTAGTTATACTTGTAGCTCTGTGAGGTATCGCCATATTACTTTCCACAGAGGTTGTACTAGTTTGCAGTCCCACCAGCAGTGTAGAAGTGTTCCTGTCTCTCCGCATCCACACCAAAATTTATTGTTTTGGGACTTTTTGATAAAGGCCATTCTCACTGGAGATAAATGATATCTCGTTGTGGTTTTGATTTATATTTCCCTGATGATTAGAGATATTGAGCATTTTTTTCATATGTTTTTGGCCATTAGTCTATCTCCTTTGGGTACATATATGTTTAGAATTGTTATATCCTCTGGTTTATTTGACCCCTTTATCATTATATACTAACCTTTGTCCTTTCTACTGTTTTTGACTTAAAGTCTGTTTTATCTAACTATAACTATTCTTACTTACTTTCAGTTTTCGTTTCATTGAAATATCTTTTTCCATCTCTTTACTTTCAATCTATATGTGTCTTTACAGATGAGATGAGTTTCTTGTGGGCAGCATATAATTGGGTCATGTTTTTTTAGTCCATTCAGTCTATATCTTTTACAGGGAAAGTTTAACCCCTTTATATTAAAGGTTGTTGTTAATATGTGAGGGCTTATCCTTGTCATTTAATTAATGGATTCCTGGTTGTTTTGCATATCCTTTGTTCTTTCTCTCTCATTGTTTATCATTGTGCTTTGGTGGTTTTCTGTACCGGTAACATTTGAGTTCTTACTCTTCCTTATTTGTATGTTTGCTGTACCAGTGTGTTTTATACTTTCATGTTTTCATGATTGAAGAATCATCCTTTTGCTTCCAGGTTTAGCAATCTGTTAAGCATTTTTTACAGGGCCAGTCTAGTGATGATGAATTCCCTCAGCTTTTGCTTGTCTGGGAAAGACTTTATTTTTCCTTCATTTATGAAGGATTACTTTTCTGCTATAGTATCTGTGGCTGGCAGGTTTTTTTCTTTCAGTATGTTGAATATATCATTCCATTCTCTTCTGGCCTGTAAGGTCTTTGTTAAGAAATCTGATGTAAGTCTGATGGGGTTTGCTTACAAGTGACCAGATACTTCTCTTTTGCCATTTTCAAAATTCTGCCTTTGACTTTTGACAGTTTGACTACAATGTGCTTTGGAGAAAACTTTTTTCAGTTTGTTTTCATAGGGGAGGACCTTTCCATGAAGTTGTATCTATGGTGTTTTGGGGCAGGCAGTTTGGCTTTGATTCTGGGTGTGTGCAGGTAGTGTAGTCCTTATATGATTTCTTTGGCTATAAATAGCATCAGTGGTATCTGTGATATCTTTAGTGGCTTAGGGTGTGGTTGTTAGTGGAAACTGTGGTGAAGGTTTACTGGGGACTGAGGTGCCAGATGGTCCAGTCCTCAGAACCCAGTGGTGACAGTGGTGGGCTGAGCATACCTGTCCTTGGGTCCCAAGGCAGTGTATGCTAGCACTGGTGTTAGTTTGCCCAGGTGGGCCAATTCTTGGACTTCCAGGGGGCTTGCTCAGGTGCTGGTAGTGGCAGCAGAAGCTGGGCAGGTAGGCAGGTTCTTGGACCCCTGGCCTTGGGCATGGCATGGGCAATGACAGTAGCAGTAGTGGGATAACTGTCTGGTTCCCAGGTGGTGATGCAGTGGCTTCAATAGGCTGGGAAGGCCAGTATCAAGGCCAACAGGTGGCATGTATGGGTGGGTGCCAGTTGTGGTGGTAGCACTAGGTTGGGTGGGCCTTACCTCAGGACTCCAGGAAGAGTGCTCAGATGTCAATGATTGTGGACTGGCTGGGCAATCCAAGGCTACTGGACAGCATTCTTGGGTACTAGGCAGAGATAGAGCCAGGCCAGGCAAACCTGTCCTCAGGTCCCCTGATGGTGTGTGCAGGTGCTGGCTGTGGTAGGCAGGGGCAGGGCAATCCCCAGGCTCCCAGCAAAATGCTTGGGTGGGGGTGACAGCGCTGTTCTACACCCTGCTGCTGCTGGGAGAGTGGGGTTGCTTTCAGCGGCAGCAGCTGTATGCAACCAGCTGGGGAGTGTGTGCATCACGTACGATTTGGACCGGGTGGCTGCAGCTGCACTGGCTTTAGGCAGGGGTTTCTGACTCAAGGTGCATGAAAACGAGTGTACAGTAGGGTCACTGCCACTTCAGCCCTGATGGCAACAGCCAAAGAGGTGGCTGCAGGTGGGGCATACCAGTGGGGCTTAGGGCTGCGGAGATGCAGGGGCTGTTATGCCCATGGCAGGATGGAGTCCGTGGGTGCTGGACTCTGAAATGGCACCATGCTATAACTGCTTAGGACTCAGGAGATGTGCCATCGAAACCAGCTTCATAACAACCCACTCTCATGGGAACGAATCCATTCCTGTGACAACTAACACAGTTTCATGAGAGCAAGAACTCACTTACCTCCGCAAGAACAGCACCAAGCCTTTCATGAGTGACTCGCCCTCCTAAACACCTGCTGCTAGGTGCCACCTCCAACACTGTCACACTGGGGGTCAGATTTCAATATCAGTTTTAGTGGGGACAAACTGTATACAATCATGGCAAGATGTTCGTTACATAGACAGATGAATGCCATGGACATCACTAGCCCTCCTTGGAACCCCTGGATTGCCAAGAAAAATTATAGTTGAAATTCGGCGGTGGTGTTTCAGGATGGGAATCTCCACTTTTCTTTTTCTGCAGGAGTTGGCGATTTCAGCGTGTGGGAGTTCTCTGGAAATCCTGTGTACTTCTGCTGTTATGACTATTTCGCTGCAAATGATCCCACGTCAATCCATGTCATTGTTTTTAGTCTAGAAGAGCCCTATGAGATCCAGCTGAACCAAGTGATTTTCTGGCTCAGTTTCCTGAAGTCCCTCGTCCCAGTCGAAGAACCCATAGGTGAGCTAAGTGCCCGTGGGCGAGGGAGTGTCCTTCCTGCTGCCGGCGGGCATCGCCTCCTCCCTCCAGGCTCCTGCGCTGCTCCTGCCGCTGGTGCAGGCCTTGCACCCCGGCCGCGTGCAGATCCCACAGCTGTGGCTCCTCCTGCTAGGAAACTTCCAGTCTGGAAAGCTTCCTGGGGCTCAGCCATTCAGTGTTCTGTAGAAAGATTTTGTATCACGATTGTGTGTTCCTGCCTCAAAGGCCCGATTCCGAGCCAGTTATTTAGAGCCATTTCTCAGATCCTTTCTACGCTTTCGAGCTGTGGTCATTTTGTTGGGTGCAGAATGGAATCCCTGCTCAGATGGCTGCTGCCCCTTTGCCTAAAGGGAACAGAATTAATCAGCAGAAGGAGCTCTCCTTCCTCCTGCAGGTCCGTCAAGAACTGATGAGACAGGCCGGTGTTGCCTGAATGTGTTATCTTAGCTTCGTTCCTAGAGGAGAGGACGACATGGAATAAACTTCTTTTGTTCTTCACATACAACAAGAGAAGCAGCCTTCCCTGGTGAAATGCAGTCAATTCTTTTTCCAGAAAATCCTTTAATAATAAATTGGGCTTAATACCCCTCAAGATGCTGCCATTTTTACCTCTTTCTTTCTCTTTTATTGTTCATGGCTTTTTGTTTTAAACACTCCCATAAGTGGAGGCTGTCTGTGTGACTTGCGGACCGTTTCTCTCTGAGCCATCCCGGTGGTGTTGCTGCACTCAGGGGCCTTTCTTTGGTCTTGTAAAGAGTGTCCCTCATGTGCAGATTGGGGCTACTTGGAGGAAGGCCTGAGAAGCTGCCTTTTGTAGTCTGGGGTCAGGTCTGGTCCACTCTGAGCGATTTTCCTTGAGGCCCAGGAAATAGGCTCATCTTCCTGTTGGCCGGGCCTAGGGACTTCCAGAGGGCACACCGCACGGTGGGCATGGGGCCCTCATGTCCGCGGCAGGTTGCCCATCCACCTGCAGAGATGGCCGGGGCATGAGGCCAGCACGCCCCCTGCCCTGGGCAGGAGAGCCAGCCAGGTAGGAGGACCCGCTTCATAACACAGCTCCCTCTGCCCCCAGCCTTTGGTGGGAAGCTGAAGAACCCACTCCGAGTTGTCCTGGTGGCTACCCATGCTGACATCATGAACGTTCCTCGCCCAGCTGGAGGCGAGTTTGGATATGACAAAGATACATCGTTGCTGAAAGAGATCAGGAACAGGTGAGGGGGGCTGCTGGGTCTCCAGCCCAGGTGACAGCCTACTACCCAAGGAACCGAATCAGGGGTGTGAAAAATACAACAGAACTCACATGAACTACAGAAAGGAATTAAAGACCTTTTTCCTTGGTTGACTTTTTTGTTGTATGGGTTGAGTATCTGTTATCCGAAATGATTGAGACCAGAAGTGTTTTAGATTTCATATTTTTTTGGCTTTTAGGAATAGTTGCATATACATAATGGTTGAACGTCCACAACAGGAAAATTCTAAATCTGAAATGCTCCAGTGTGCATTTCCTTTGAGCATCATGTTGGTGCTCAAAAAGTTTTCAGATATTGCAACATAACAGATTTCAGATTTCCCAATAAGAGATGCACAACCTCTATTTTTTGTTATCAAAGCAGTAAATCCACATAATAACAAATACAAGCAAAACACACTTGATGAAAAGCAGCAGTCCTCTACCTTTTCCTCCCCTCCCAGCACCACTGCCCAGAGAAAGCTTCTAGCTGTTTTAGGTTTCAGTGCTTTCCATGATTATGACGATAATGCAAATCAGTATTTCTCAAAATATAAGTTATAATCCACTAATGGGACATGAGATCCATTTAGGGGACCATGACCAACGCTTTTTTATTTTTATTTATTTTTCCATGTGACCTCATTTACAGATATCTTTTTTTAAGTGAGATGGGATGGAATGGAATAGAATAGGATAGATGAGAGTACGTTTCATTTCATTTATAAAACTTTTTTCACTTATCAATATGGGTGTGTATGGGGTCATGATATAAAATACATATTTTTACTTTGAGTCTATCAAAG